TGCCAAAATACACCATCTTCTGGCTTCTTTCATTAAGCTTTTTGATATATTACTTTGCCGTCTTAATATGTGTTGTACAACCGAAGACTCTTAGGTACTCAAAGTGAGGTGTCTTGTCGAACCATGCTTCATAGGGGGTGCTAGTGTCTAGCACTTTTGTCGGTAAATGGTTTAGAAGATAAACTGCATGTTGTATTGCCTCGCCCCAGAAAATCTTCGGGACTTGCATCCTCTTTGTGTAAGCTTCTTGGAGTATTCATTATGGTGCAGTATCTTTGTTCGACCACACTATTTTGTTGTGGAGTGTATGGTGTGGTGAGTTGACACTTGATACCTTCCTCTTCGCAAAACTTTGAGAAGTTTTGGTATAAGAACTCGCCACCTAAGTCGGTGCACAAGGATTTTAGCTTGTGATCATACCCGTTTTTAACGAGTCTTCTGAACTTCTTGAACACACATAATGTCTCTCCTTTTTTCTTTGAGCATGTACACCCACATCAAATGAATATAATCATAAACAAGTAAGAGAAAATACTTATTACCAGCAATCGATAATGAGGTGATCAGGCCACACAAATCTGGATAAACTACTTGTAGTGATCACTCAGCACGGAAACTAGTTTGAGCTGGGAATGATAGTATTGTTTTTTTGGAGACTAGACAACTTTCACATAGCTGGTTCGGGTGTATGATTTTGGGTATCCTCGTAGCCATCTTCTTATCTGTCATCATTTTGAGGGTCTGAAAGTTCACATGCCTAAGTTTCGCATGCCATAGCAAAGCTGGGTCTACAAGTGTCGTCAAGGAGGTGGTCTGGCTGGTCTCTAATAGTATCTTGTATAGCGATTATGCAACCGTTTTACCTTCATCAACAAGGTTTCATTTATGTCGAACATCTTGAGAAACGAACCAACTAACTCACCTCTGCTTCCTTCTTCTGTCATCTGATCAAGACTGATAATATTACTCTTCAAGTCTGGGATATAGTATACCTTGGTCATGATGGTGTTAATATAACACATGCGGAAGCAATTTGGATCTTAGGCACTCTAAGTACATCAATTATAGTAAATTAGCTAGAATGTTCAAAAGCATTAAAACTAAATGAGTTTGAATACTAATCTTTTGTCGCTCAAGTTTCTTTTTCCTCACGAACCAGTTTCGAACCACCACAAGTGTCTTCTTCACTATTCTCCGGCCTTAGAATGGGATTGTGGAATCCGGTGTGTGACTAAACTTGGGAGGGATTTAGTATATATGAAGAGAGAGTTTGTGAGATTTTTTTCAAGGTTTTCCCCTTGGAAAATCTTACATGTTCCATGATCATTCTATTTATAGAGTCATGTTGGCATGTTAATGCAAATTTAAGATCACCAATTTTTGACACTCAAAATTCCACTCAAATGTTTGGGATTATGTGGCAAGCATGCAAGTTTGAGTTCACCAAACTTTGACACTCAAAATTTCACTAAAATTTGTGGGGTTTATTTGGACAAGTTTGGTTAAACCAAATTTTGACACCTCAATATTCCACTAACTCAACACATCGATTCTTTCATTAAATAAAATCAATATTTTGACTTTCTTCATTTTGATTTAACAATTAATTTGAATTATTAATTTCAAATTAAAGAAATATTAAATGATTAATTAAACTATTTAATTAATATTTAATATTAATTCAAATGTCAATCCCAATAAATTCTGACACATATTTGATTAAGATATTTAAATCTTATTTAAATATCTCAGATTCTCTCTTTTTGTTTAATTCCTAAATAAAACAAAAATGCGGTAAAATATATCGTATATATGTAGCGCATATTCCCTAATTTGAATTCGAACACTTCGAACTCACTCGTCACATTATTCTATGGTTTAGTCTGATATGAGCTAGTAGAGGGACCTAATGGACCTATAGATCATGGGCTCCAACGATCCAAGATTAATCGGTTAAACTCATTAACCTTGTTAACCAACATTCGTTAACTACTAGGACACTCCACTATAGCCTAGTAGTTGCACTCCCCTCACTATAGATATATTTCTGTCTATTTGATATAACCATGATTAGTAAGTCGATCCTTCACAGGTTGTTCGTAACTAGAGCTGGGTCAATTTATCGTTTTACCCCTGAAGTTACTTCTTGTTCCTTATGTCTCACTAATCCTCTAATGAACAATTGGTTTGTGGTCCAACCAGTAAACCGAATCCCTCTCAGGCCAATGAGAGGGTGGGGCCCCTTGTTCAAGACTTGGAGTTAGTGCTTAAGGGAACTACCTCTCTTCTATCTCTAAAAGTGAGTAGGAGTGAATTTCATCTTGCACCCCACGTCCCCAGCCATTCACCTAGTCTTACCCCTGAAATGAGAGGCCTATTGAGTCGACGAACTTGAGCCACTCTCACCCATGCAAATCTAAGGATAATTCCGAATTAACAAGAGTTCATGGTTAGCTCAGGATTAAAATCGAGTTACCTAGGTCATCGAATGAAAAGGAAATCAGTCTCAGCAGTAAGCGACATTATAAAGTGAGTGATTTTTTTCATGGTCTGATCTTACGCAATACTCATTGCATAGGACGTCGTCACTCACATATCTCCGCATGTACAATTTAGTGATCACATTGTTTATGTCATATACAAAAGTGGGCTGCATCCATAGTGTCCCCAGGATAAGGTACTTAGCCTTATCCCTGTACTATAAATCATTTTGACTATATACTTAAACTTGAACCACTCTTATGTCTCTACATATAGTTCAAGTAATCATACTATAGTCAGAGTGTTCTTAGTTTCTTGGATTTAGATTAATAATCGTAAAGTTCACTTTATTCAATAACAATCTTTACTGAATAAACAACAATAATAACTTTATTGAAAATAGAATATGTTTTTGTTTACAAACTATGAGTTTTAGGACATAAAACTCAACAGGTCAGTAAACGTTTGTCGCCATTCTTGCACTAGAACAAGATGCATCCTTTGCCTTGGATCGATACAATTGATCCATCGCCAAACTTCATGTTTCCAATGAGCTTTTCATCAAGCATCTTGAACTTTGTTCGATCTTCAGTCATGTGGTGTTAAAATAAATACTCACAAATTTGTGAAGTAACTCTCACACACACTAACAATCGAACGCTCTGATACCACTTTGTGAAAGTACTACTCACGTACTTGTGAAGGAGATGTCAAGAGAGAAGAGACAAGGAGACAAGGAACACTAATTTATCAAAAAGCCTTTTCTATTGCCTATATTTCTTTGCTCTCTCTTTTTGCACTGACTTTATCGTAAAGGGATTACGTATTTATACCTTTTCTATTACTAATAATTGGGTGAGAGAAACTCTCATAAACCCCTACCATCATTCCCTAAAAGAACTCTGGGCCTTTTCTTTATGGCTTTTTAAAATTTACTTCCGTAACATATTAACTGCATTTGGCATTTTAAGTTTATTTCAACAAAACTCCCTCATAGACTTAAATGCTCCTACGATCTGTCATGCCAATCATCTTCTTGTATTTGTTGAAAAGTGCTTTCAGTAGCGGTTTTGTAAAGATGTCCGTAACTTGATCCTGACTTGCCACATGCAGCAATTCCACGCTTCCTTCCTTCACATGATCTCGGATAAAGTGAAATCAAACGTCAATGTGTTTGCTTCTTTCATGGTTCACAGGGTTCTTTGCCAACTCAATTGCTGATTTGTTGTCAACTTGAATGACGGTTACACCTTGTTGCTTTAGTATTCAAACTCATTAAGTTTTAATACTTATGAACATGCTAGTTATTTACTATAATTGATGTTAAGTGCCTAAGATCTAAATTGCTTCCGCATGTGTTACATTAACACCATCAAAAGCACCTTCTTCAATTTTAGTACCTTCTTCTCTTCTCCAATTTTCATGTACCCGGGTGGTTGTTCGAGGTAGACTTCTTCTTCAAGCACACCATTCAAGAATAACGACTGGACATCCATTTGAAAAATTGGCCATTTGAATTGAGTCGCTTGGGAACTGAGCAGTCGGATTCTCTCCATTCTTGCGACGGGAGCAAACACTTCGACATAGTAGATTCTCACCTTTTTCTTGTATCCCTTCGCAACATGCGCGCCTTGTACCGCTCTATCTTGCCTTGAGCATTCATCTTTTTCTTGAATACCCACTTCACACCTATGGGCTGACTTCCTTCCGATAGTTCTATCACCTCCTATGTATTGTTGCAAGGAATCACTTTAATCTCCTCATCCATGGTAGTTTGCCACTTCTTGACTCGCACTGCCTCTTCAAAACTGATATTTTCAGCATCTACCAGAAGACATACAAGGTGTACCTCATTTGTTGAATTATACAAGTCTCACAAACTTTGTATTTTGGGTTGTCGTGGTTCATCTTCATCATCGAAAATTTCTCAGTCTATTGGTGCACTTGTTGGTGTAACGACTAATGATTCTCCAACTTCGATATTAACTTCCTTCGAATTGTTCCAGTCCCATTTCCATTCACTTGCTTCATTTACTCGCACATCACGACTCACTATCACCATCTTGCTTAACGGGTCAAGTAGCTTGTATCCTTTTATCTTCTCATCATATCCAATAAAAATATACCTTTTGCCTTTGTCTTCGAGCTTCATTCTTCGTTGATCCGGTATGTGAGCATAAGTCACACTACTAAATACTTTGAGATGAGAGATTGTAGGATTTTGTCCGCTCCAAGCCTCTTGTGATGTTTGATCATCTAACCTTGCATGTGGACATTGATTTTGTACATTAGATGGCGCATTGCCCGGCTTCTGCTCAAAATTCCTTTGGCATCCTTTTACTCTTGAGCATTGATCGAACCATGTCGAGAATGGTCCAGTTCTTTCTCTCGGCCACACCATTTTGTTGAGGGGTGTACGATGCGGTTAGAAATCACCTTATTCCATGCACCATATTCTTCTTCGCTAACTCCTTTAGGCTGTCATGATGTAGGTGACCAAAGCAGAGATGCCACAATGATGCCTTGTCTTCTACGTCGACTCGCAAACACTTTTCTCGTATGCTTCTTAAGTTCAATTTGTACATCCGATTTCTTCCTATCTCGACTCAAGCAACCAAACACCCTTGCTTATCCTTCAGGTGTAACCTTTCGCTGTGAGTTGCCCCATACTCAATATGTTGGTTTTGAGGTTTGGTACGTAATAAACATCTTGGATTGTCCCCATTACACCATCCATTTGCAAGAAATGTATCGTACCTCGACACTTGACCTCCACCTTTGATGCATCTCCAAATGGCACATGACCATCTTCAATCTTTTGCATCTCTTTGAATAGGTACTCATGACCGCACATATGGTTGCTTGCCCCTGAGTCTAGGTACCACATAGTGTCATTGTTGATGTTGTCTTCTTGAGCCATCAAGAGAAGACCTTCATTTGTTACGTCTTCCAAGGCTAAGTTGGTTGCTCCTTCCACCCTTTTTCTGGCTCAACAATCTTTTGCAACATGCCCCACTCTGCCACAATTGTAACATTTGTCAAAATTACAATCATTTGCATAGTGACCATATTTTTGACATTTATAGCACTGAATGTTGGAATAGGTTGATCGGCCGCCTCTTCCTCGACTGCATCCTCTTCCATGCCAATATTCTTGGCTTGATTGTCTCTTCTCCTTATAATGTCCTTCATTACTACTGCCTTGACCACCTCGACCATTTTCGTGACTTTCACGACCTCTACCTTGAATATTTTGAGAGTAGAGTACTTTTCATCTTTTATTGATGCCTTGGTTTGAAATGCTTGATCGAGTGTCTCCTCCTCCTTCTTCTTACGTTGCTCGTGTGCCTCGAGAGAACCGATGAGCTCATCGACCGTGAACGTTTTTAGGTCCTTTGACTCTTCTATCGCACATACAACATTCTCGAAGTTGTTGGTTAGTGACCTCAAGATCTTCTCCACAACCCGCGTCTCAGGTAACATTTCTCCTTTTCGATTTAGTTGGTTTACCACAATCTATACGCGCGTAATGTAGTCAGATACATTTTCTGACTCCTTCATCTTCATGTTCTCCAACTCGCCAAGATGAGACTGAACTCCTCTCCCTATTTATTCTTTCATTTCCCAGGGTAAAGCAGCTAATCTAATTCATGGACTCTACCTGAACCTGATTGACTGAGGTAATGCATTCGGAAGGAAAGACTCAACAAGTAATTGAGTTTGGAGACGCACTTGCTTGACTCGGTCGGTTCCTTTGAACACTTTTTCTAAAGTGTCCCACGCTTCTTTTGAAGTTGTTGCCCTGGCAATCTTCTCAAAGCCCGACTTGTCAACGGCCTGGAACAGCATGTATAATGTCGCCTTATCCTTTGATCGCAATTCTTTTAACGTCTTGTTTTGCACTGCCGTATAACCCATGGTATCCTTTGGTTCTTCGAAACCTTCTTCGACCACCTCCCATGCATCTTGAGAACCGAGAAGAGCTTTCATTTGGATGCTCCAATTCTCGTAGTTCATCTTTGTTAATCGCAGTAGCGGCATTTAACCCATCATATTTGTCATCGACTCTGATACCAATTTGTTAAAATAAATACTCACGAATTTGTGAAGACTCTCACACACACTAAGAATCGAATGCTCTACTACCGCTTTATGAAAGTACTACTCACGTATTTGTGAAAGAGATGTTGAGAGAGAAGAGAAAAGAAGAAATACTGATTTTATCAAAAAGCCTTTTATATTGCACTGTATATCTTTGCTCTTACTTTTGTATATCTTTGCTCTTTGCTCTTACTTTACAGTAAAGGGATTATGTATTTATACCTTTTCATAAACCACTACCATCCTTCCATAAATGAACTTTCGGCCTTTTCTTTACTCTTGCTTTTTCAAATTTACTTTCCTACCATATTAACTACATTTGGCATTTTAAGTTTATTTCAACATGTGGTTGCTTGCTTCGTTGTCAAGGTACCACATGTTGGTCTCCACATGTTGCTCCTTTTGTGACAAGGTTTGCCGTAACATTTTCTTCGTTGAGCATCAACAGGTTAGGCATCTTCTCGGCCAACATCATTGCGACCTCTTATTCTTGCGTGAATGTGAGGTTTGCCTCCTCATCTCGCTTCTTCTTGCGGCACTCTACCGCATAGTGATTCTTGGAAATTGCCCACGATCAATGTATGTCGAAACAAATAATGGAAGCAGAAGAACAACTTGAGGGGAGAGAGCTTTTGAATAGAGGAACCTTAAACACGTATGCTTTATTAATTCTCTTTCTTTTGTTGTGTAAATAACATACCTATCATGAGTATGTACAGTGGGGATTGAATAATCAATATCCTAAACTTTCAAATCAATAACTACTAAATCTTACTAATTGATCTCCTAAACTTTCAAATCAATAATTACTAAATCTTTCTAATCGATCTCCTAAAGTTTCATATCAATAACTACTAAATCTTCCTAATTGATCTCATAAACTTTCAAAATTAATAACTACTAAATCTTTATCCAAAAATTGTTACTTTTTCTAAGTTAAGCTTATTACCTCATATTCTCCTCCGTAAGCTTGACTTTGCTCGAGATTCTTCACTTTGAGAAACTCCCTCAAGTCTGTAGCTTTAACCCTTACTAGGGTATTGGTTAGAATGTCTGCACGTTTCTCTCTAGCTTCAACTTTGCTTGGTCTCTACTCAACTTTGTTTCCTTCCAAAGAAACTTTAATTTTACAACATGCATTTTCTTCCACTCCTCTCTTCTGTGTAGAGAATTCATCGTCAAACTTACATCTAGAAAATTCTTGTGACGTACTCCTCTGTTTTTCAACCTTCTTTTTAGGCCTACCTCTAGGTTTCTTTAGTTGAGAATGAAAGTTTGAAATCTCATATTTATTACGCCCTGGTGGTCTTCCTCTAGGCCTTCTTGGTTGAGGTGATAAGTTTGATGAAGCACATTGACCTGTAGGTTACACTTAGCTGATTGAAACAGTCTCTAGTTGCTTCTTGGATTTATTTTTCGATTCATTTTTCTCCTGATCCATTGGTTTCTTCTTCACTTTTTTGTTGCCAACGCCAATAGATACTTTTGGAAGATGTTGATAGTTTTCAATAGTATCTTATATAGGCAGTTTCGTAATCGTCTTACCTCCAACAGGGCTCCGTTTCGATCCTATATCTTAAGGAACGAGCCAACTATTTCCACTTGGCTACCTTCTTCTAAAATTTGACCAAGGCTAATAATATTGCTCTTCAAACTCGGGATGTAATACACCTTGGTAAATAGACGTTGATCACCGTTCTTACATTGAAACAAATAGATCATATAGATCATTTGTTAGATAAATCCCGGTTGAAAATAATTCCTAGTTTTTAGTTACAAGTAACTGTTTTTTCTGTTAAACCCAACAATTAAAGTGAGTGGGAAGTCGACCAGTAAGTGCTTTAATTAAGTTGCCCACTTCTTTCTATTTTTAGGGTGTAAGTTCTTATTTAAATATTCCAACTAAATAATAAATAAAATCATTTGATATTCAGTGAAATATTGTCTCTCTCTTGTTTTTCTATTATTTTCTTCTTTCAAGATTTTTCCTTGGGCTTTTTACTCGTCAACAATTTCCTACTCCGTCAAAACAACAATCGTTTTTCTCCGGTCAAAATAACATCCTTCACCTTGGATCGATACAATTGATTCGTCGCAAAGCTTCACATTTTCAATGAACTTCTCATCAATTTCCTTAAGCTTTTCTCAATCTCCGGTCATGTGGTTGCTTGCTCCGTTGTCTAGGTACCACATCCTAGTCTTCACTAGCCTCAAAAAATTGTCGAAACTTGCATGCTATTGAGTAAGCTTCTTGCAATGTTCATTATGATGTAGTTTTTTCGCTCACACCATTTTGTTGTGGAGTATACGATGTTGAGTTTATTTTTGATAACTTACCTCAGTATACCCAAGGTTTTTAGCTTGTGGTCAGACCCATTTTCAATCAATTTTATTGTCACAACCCAATTTTCGAGCCTTCAAAACTCAATCGTGACTAAAAAGACGAAAGCGAAAGAAATTAAAAAGAAATTAAAAGAGAGGTAGAATAAAAGATAAAAATACAATTTAATTAAAGCCGAAGACAAAAAAGTTTAATTTTCAAACATTTCAAAGGGCGATACAAATATAAAAGGAAATACAAAAGACTCCAAAAGAATGAAAAAGACTCCAAAAGAATGAAAACGGACTAACGCTCCGGAACTTCCCATCTTTGACAACGTAACTCTCGAACGCTCCTCCACCTTGACCGGCAGCCTACAAACACCTAAAAAGAAAAAAGAAAAACAAGGATGATTATAAAAACTAAGCTCTCATCGCATTTTAGGCTTAACAGAATCCCACGGACTTCTCATTGGCTCTAGGGCGTCTTGTTCTGGTCTTAGATCCTTGGGGCTTCTTTGGTTCTCCATCCTTTCATTTAACTCTAAGAGTTCCCTTATGCTGACCTGTGTATTAACGGTGACCTACGAGAAGCTACCTCAAGCATGACTTATGAGACTACTTGGTATCTTACTAGGACGTGAGCTGCAACCCCTAGGTCCATAATAGTCCCCTTCATTGGGAAGGGGTTACCCTTCCCTTATCCCATCCAGCTAAATGGTTTGTACGACGTGGGCTCACTTTTCCCATGCGAAACGGCTAGGAGCAAAACCCCTGGTCCTCCATGAAGCTATGACACTGTTTATACACTTGCAGTCTAAGGATACTCCTAAGGTGGTTTGTAAGTTGTGGTGGTCTGTTAGGCTTCTAACGCAAAGGTTATGTCTAAACTTAGTAACTTGTCACTCTAACTACAAATCCCTAGATTTATCATAAATATGGGTCATGGAAATTAACTAAGTGTGCACAGAACTATCATCTAGCATCATCATACATAATTCATGCGACGTAAACATACAACGGAGTATCCATCAAGCTCCTCGAGCGCAAAGTTCACAAATTATTCTCCTTTCACCATGAATTAAACATATGCATATATAGCGGATGCTTAAAGCATAGTTTTAACACTTAGAAAATCCTCATAATGCTTCACCATATCACATATATACTCATAATAATCAAACTACTTAAATCCATTCAGGGAGAGCTACCACCTAAGGTAAACACACTAGCATGCCTGCATTCCAAGCATATCCTACAAGTATTTCTTCTTAAATATCGTGTGGTGACTTACATGATGGACGTGTGCCTTTTTTAGCATTTCTATATAAATAGCATGTCCAAAAATACTGATTTTCTTCATTTAGGTCCTAATTCACATAAAAATATGGTTAGGATTAGAATCAAAATAAAAAATCGGGCAAACAAAATTCGGATGGGCAGAAAAGAAGCTTACATGCGCCAGAGAGAAACACCATGCACGCGTACAAACGTGCGTCCTAGTGCTGTCATGTGGCGCGCTCAGGTTTGTCAGCCGCTAACGAGTGCATATGGGTTCAATCCAGAAGCGAGTGCTAGAAACCTGAATTCCTTTACGTTCACTCGTGGCACATGGGTCAGGTCGGATCTTCTCTTGGGTTGCATGCGGGTGGGTTATTGGGTGCCGGCCTTCGAATCCTGACGGACGTGATATATTTTTCGATTTTCTCTACGAATGGACGCTTGACACGTGGCCCTTCTTCTCCAACGATGCAGGCCCCCTTCTCCGCCTGACACGTGTTCCAGCCGCTATTTGGGTTCTGCTTCCTCCTGTAAGCGTTGGGATTTCCATAATACGATTATTTTTGTATTTTCTTTGCATTTTAATATTTCTTTCTACGTAACTCGAATTTTCATAATACGACCATATTTCTAATTTTCTACCATTTTTATTTCATTTTTTTTCTTAAGTTTATTTTTTATTTCTAAGCATTTTTCTCTTCTGCCTCATCTCAAAATTTGGTCTAAAAGACCCTCAATAAAATCTCAAAAGTTCGAATTTAAAGGTAAAATTAAATTTTAAATTTTCTGTCCGGGATGAGGTCTTACACTTAAAGAAAAAAGGAAAGACATTAATTGTCAACAAGATAAAATACTTATTACCAGTGACTGACAATGAAGTGATCGGGCCACATAAATTTGCATAAACCAATTGTGGTGGTCGCTTAGGACATAAACCAGTTTGAGATGGAAACAACAATCTTGCTTGTTTAAAGACTAGACTATTTTTACATAATTGGTTCAGGTGTATGATTTTGGGTAGCCCCATAGTCATCTTCTTCTCGCCCATCCTTTTGAGCGCTTGAAAGTTCACATGCCCAAGTCATGCATGCCATAAACAAGTTGGGTTTACGAGTGTCGTCAATAGGAGTAAGCTATTTGGGCTCCATTTTTGTCAAACATCTTAAGAAACAAGCTAGCTAACTCAACTCTACGGTCTTCTTCCGTCATATGGCCAAGACTGATAATACTAATCTTCAAGCTTGGATATAATATGCTTTGATTAGTAGACGTTGCTCATTGTTCTTGCACTGAAGTAAGATGGATCCTTTGCTATGAATCAGTACAATTGATTTGTCACCAAAATTCACGTTTTCAATTAGCTTCTCATTAAGATCCTTGAACTTTACTCGATTTCTAATCATGTGGTTGCTTGCTTAATTGTCATGATCCGAAATAAATAACCTCAAGTCGTGACTAACAATGACTATGACATGTAAAATGTAAGCGAGAAATTCAAGGAAAACATTATTCCAGAAATATTTCATTTATTTTTGTAAGAAAAATGTTTTATTACCTAAAGGACATGTGTCTAGGTAAAAACAAGAAGGAAAACATGAAAGGTATAACAAGAATGAGTATAAAAATTATACTCACTAAGCCACCTACTTGTAGGCTCTTATCGCATCTTAATCTTAACAAACCCCCACAGATTCTACTTTAGCTCTAGGGCATCTGGCTTTCGTTTTAACACCTTGGGACTTGCCCCTCCGACTTCTTGGTCCTTTGACCTTTCGTTTAAAGATCTTAAGAACTCCCTTATGCTGTCTTGTGTAATGACGGGTGCTCCAAGTAGCTACCTCAGCATGACTCTGAGACTATCTAGAAACTTACCTAGGAAGTGAGCTGCAACCCCCTAGGCACATGACAGTCCCCTTGGTCGGGGAGAGCTACCCCCCTTAACCCATCCAGCTAAATGGTCTATACGATGTGGGCACACGTTTTCCATGGTAAAACGGCTAAGAGCAGGTCGGATTCTGATCAGGAACCCCCTGGTCCCCCACGAAGCTATGACACCAATCACACACCAAAAGCCTAAGGGTACTCTAGTGAGGCTACATACGCCGTGGTGGTCTGTTGCTCTACTAGGGAAAGGATTAGGTCTACTCCTTAGTGTCTTATTACTCTATCCAAGAATTCCTAGACCTAATCATAAACACGAGTCATGAAAACTAACTGAGTACGTACATAACTACAAACCAAAGTCATCAAACATGTTTCATGCAAAGTAACATACAAGATCAACGGGGTGATAACATCCATCAACTCACGAAGCGTAGAGTTCACAATTTCCCATCCTCCTTTCAGCATGAAAATATACATATACATAATCAGCGGAAACTTAAAGCGTAACAGCAGTACTCAGATAATAATCATAATATTTCACAACATACATTTTAATTTTAATAATCGATTACCTACGATCAATAACGGGAAACTATGACCTAAGATAATTAAACTAGCATGCATGCATTCCAATCGACTCCTACAAGTATTACTTCCTAAAATTCCTTGTGGTGACTTATTTGGGTGATGTGTGCCCTAACCCACCGTTTCCACACAATTTGCGTATCAAAAGGTAGTGAGTTTCCTCAATTAGGTCCTATTTCATATAAAATGGAGTTAGGATTGGAATCGGGAGGAAAATAGTGAAAATAGAAGTTGTACCGGTCAAAAATAAGCTTACACGCGCTTCCACACGTCGGGGTGCAACCACTCGCAGGTTCCACGGGCGAGTGTCAGGTGCCCGGGGGTTTCTGCAGTCGCGGGTCGCCGGTTCGATTCGAAAACAGTGGTTCAGGTGGACTGCGGGTCGTCGGTTCGGTTCAGTTCGCCGCGCAGGTACCGGGTCAGCCAAGGAACGCGGGTCAAGTTGCGATGCCGGGGACGCGTGTCCCAGGAAAGCTAGAGCTGTGTTTTCCCAAGCGGCGTCCGACGCGTGTCCGAAGTTAATTGGTGCACGCGGTCCTCTAGCCGGTTGACACGTGTCATGTCGGCGGCTTCTCTCTCCTCCTAGTAGAAATTCATGGTTTCCAATTAGTTTTTCGAGGTACTTTCCATTTTCTATCTCTCGATTCTTAATCCAAACAGTAATGGTTTCTTCAACAAAGTTTTAGATCATACTTCAACCTACGTGCCAATATTTTCTTCTTGATTTTTACTTAGTCATACGATGAGTTATGAATGTCGGAAAGAGGTTCGGTAACATTCTTACTGCTCTTGGAAAGATTCTCAGATCTCAACGTTCTGTCCGATTTCCTCACTTAAATCAGTGGTGGATCTTCCCTCGATCCAAACAAAGATCTCACCTTGTAGGTTTTCTTTCAGATCTTGACGAAAGAGGAGGAAATCTCAACAACGCGAGTTCTTACTGTTGTTTTTCGACAATCGGCAAGGATAATCGGCAACTAAAATCCTTTTCGGTGAGAGGAAATCGTTTGACGGGAAGTTGTTGGAAGAAAATAAAGATGCGAAAAATAACAGAGAGAAAATTGTTGAATACTTTTGCTTAAAATGAGGTGCTGATCCCTCTCGAACATATTTACCTATTTAAATATCTAACTTATCCTAAAAATGGCTATCTATGACATTTCCTACAAAATTGCCATATCTATGACATTTCCTACAAAATTGCCATCTAAAAATTTGGTAATCCATTCGACGTATTTGTAAAATGTTCAAACGAATGTATTCAATCAACTAATCAAAACGTGTAAATCTAAATAAGGAAAATTTCATGTTTTATCTAACAATCTCCTCCTAAAACCTGTGGAGAGAACCGATTTACCTATTTAAATATCTCACTTATCCTAAAAATGGATGTAGAGTGGCCAACTATATCTGTCACATTTTCTACAAAATTGCCATCTAAAAATTTGGTAATCCATTCGACGTGTTAAAAAAATGTTCAAACTAAAAATTTGGTAATTCATTCGACGTGTTTGTAAAATGTTCAAACGAATGTATTCAATCAACTAATGAAAACGTGTAAATCTAAATAAGAAAAACCTCAGGTTTTATCTAACAATCTCCTCCTAAAACCTGTGGTATATCTAACTTATTTTGTTTGAACTCCGATTTGAGCCCTATGGCTCGGTGTCCCTGGCGGCATGTCATTCGACGTGTTTGTAAAATGTTCAAACGAATGTATTCAATCAACTAATGAAAACGTGTAAATCTAAATAAGGAAAACCTCAGGTTTTATCTAACAATCTCCTCCTAAAACCTGTGGTATATCTAACTTATTTTGTTTGAACTCCGATTTGAGCCCTATGGCTCGGTGTCCCTGGCGGCATGTCTTCCAGACTCCACGTTTTGTTTGGCCACCTCTTCTTCGAGCTGGCACGCCGCCAGTCCAGGTGGTTCACCTCTTCCTAATAGGTCTTCTATCCTCCGGTACCTGGCCGAGAGGTTGATTGGTTGCTCTATCTCCAACTCTAGGATGTAAAGGTGGTTTGCCGTGCACCGAACTTGCGTGAGCAACCGTCGTCGATCATCGTAGACCCTAAGTAGCCCGCGATTAATGGAAATGTGGCAGCTGGCCTTATCGAGCTGACCCAGGCTCACAAGGTTAGTCTTGAGCCTCGGGATGAAATAGATGTCGGTCAGCTTGCGGTGCTTGCCTCCCTTGTTGATGAGCAGGATGGTGTCGCGCCCTTCAATTTCAAGGACAGAGCCGTCGCCAAAATTCACCATCCCGCGAATTCCCGAGTCAACCTCAGAGAACGTAGACTTGGCCCCGGTCATATGGTTTGTTGCCCCGTGTCAAAGACCCATCGCCAGTGCTCTTGTTGCTCGCCTCTTTCACCGATTTGAGCGAACACTCGCTCCTCGATTTGGAATTGAAATTAGGGACGTCAGGCAGTCACCATGAAAAGAGCCGGCTCGTCCTCCTCGAATTGAGCCACATGAGCCTTCTCGGCCGTCTCCTTGTTCCTGAGCTTGCTCCAGCAATTCTTGCTCAAGTGACCTCTCTTCCTACAGTAGGGACGTCAGGCAGTCACCATGAAAAGAGCCGGCTCGTCCTCCTCGAATTGAGCCACATGAGCCTTCTCGGCCGTCTCCTTGTTCCTGAGCTTGCTCCAGCAATTCTTGCTCAAGTGACCTCTCTTCCTACAGTAGGGACGTCAGGCAGTCACCATGAAAAGAGCCGGCTCGTCCTCCTCGAATTGAGCCACATGAGCCTTCTCGGCCGTCTCCTTGTTCCTGAGCTTGCTCCAGCAATTCTTGCTCAAGTGACCTCTCTTCCTACAGTAGGGACGTCAGGCAGTCACCATGAAAAGAGCCGGCTCGTCCTCCTCGAATTGAGCCACATGAGCCTTCTCGGCCGTCTCCTTGTTCCTGAGCTTGCTCCAGCAATTCTTGCTCAAGTGACCTCTCTTCCTACAGTAGGGACGTCAGGCAGTCACCATGAAAAGAGCCGGCTCGTCCTCCTCGAATTGAGCCACATGAGCCTTCTCGGCCGTCTCCTTGTTCCTGAGCTTGCTCCAGCAATTCTTGCTCAAGTGACCTCTCTTCCTACAGTAGGGACGTCAGGCAGTCACCATGAAAAGAGCCGGCTCGTCCTCCTCGAATTGAGCCACATGAGCCTTCTCGGCCGTCTCCTTGTTCCTGAGCTTGCTCCAGCAATTCTTGCTCAAGTGACCTCTCTTCCTACAGTAGGGACGTCAGGCAGTCACCATGAAAAGAGCCGGCTCGTCCTCCTCGAATTGAGCCACATGAGCCTTCTCGGCCGTCTCCTTGTTCCTGAGCTTGCTCCAGCAATTCTTGCTCAAGTGACCTCTCTTCCTACAGTACGAGCATTGGGTTGGCCCGTCATCTCGGCTCCTTCTTTTGATCTGCCTTTTTCCCGTTTGTCGCGGAGCTTTACCTCGGGATAAAATAGATGTCGGTCAGCTTGCGGTGCTCGCCTCGCAAACTTGGCCCTGGTCATACCCTTCAATTTCAACGATAGAGCCATCGCCAAAATTCACCATTGCTCTTGTGGACGTGGAGGAGTGAGTAAGCCTACCCGAGATGGACCCCACGATGTGTGTGTTTTGTTTTCACGCTTTGCATTTTCTTCTACTCGAACCTGAGAGACCTGTGTGTTGTTAGGTCAACGATCTAACCACTTGAGCTATTCAACTTGATTGTTGATAAAATTGGCTCTTTTGAAATGATATACCACCAATGGCTTCAACCAGACTCTAATACCACTCGTTGTTTTTCCACAATCGGCAACTAAAATCCTTTTCGGTGAGAGTAAATCATTTTACGGGAATTTTTTGGAAGAAAATAAAGATGATAAAATAACAGAGAGAATTGCTGAAGACTTTTGCTCAAAGGTGCTGACTGAAGAGTGGCCAACTAAATCTGTGACACTTCCTATAAAATTGACATCTAATAAAAATTTGGTAATCCATTCGACATGTTTGTCAAATGGTCAAACGAAGGTATTCAATCAACTAATGAAAACGTGTAAATCTAAATAAGGAAAACCTCAGTTTTTATCTAACACTTACTTCACTCCCAAGGACTCCAGAGTGTAGGTCTTAGTAGGGAATGGATTACATCGGCGACTCTCCGATGAAAACTCTGGCTATTCAATTTTCTCTCTCAAACTTTCTCTCAATCCTTCTCTCTAACACTTCTCTCTTTTGCAGGAATTTTGTGGGGACCCTCAAGACTCCTATAATGGGCGGAGGGGAAAAATCTATTTTTCCCACTTGCCCC